AAACATGCGTTTTCTTCATTGCATGCATGTACAAGTTGGAGTCGATATGGAATCCTATTTAGGGCATTTTCGGCTGTTTTTCTGCTGCTTTTCTCCGCTAATCAGATACCTAGCCCTTTTTCGTTCCTATGTGGGTTCCGTTACCCACAGTCTGTGGTCGCGGGCTTTGCCTTCAAGTTGAAAAGGCAACTATTGTTGCTGGAAACGCGAAAACCATAAAATGGCACTGTTCAACTATTACTACCCAAAAAGTCAAAAAATTTTCTTTTGGTGAAACCTCGCCCACAGAGATAGTTCGGTGTCCTAATCACGAATATAGCACTCGTTTTGGGCGCTAGCGTCCCACAAATTCGGTGTAAATTTGCATGGTATGGTTATTTGATGTCCTGATCACGATTACCGAATTAGTTTTCCTCCCTGACGCCATTTGGCGCTGAGTTGGCGCCACACCTTTTTCATCAGAATTGATAAAAACGTGCATAATGGGTTGTTTGATGCCCTGATCACGAATATGACATTCACTCCAGCGCCATTTAACACTTTTCTAAGGCTGAGCCTGTGAGAAAGAGTGTTTTCCTTTAGGTCAGGCCAGCCATACCAGAGCGCAGATAATCACAGCGTCTTCCATCAGCGCCAGCGCCAAAAATGAATGTGATATATGCAATCAAGATGTTAAATGGTCTTCGTATACAAGTTTTCAGCGGATTTAGTGACCTAGGGTATTTCAGCGCCAGCGCCAAAATACCCTCGGTCAGGCCAAGTGGGTATGATGTTCGTGTTCAGGAGGTCGAATTACCTCTAGAACCCAACTTTCAGCCAAATCTGCCCACGTAGAAAATAAGTTGATTAAGATCCGGCCTGTTCTTGGAAAATTGGGTTTGTTTTCCAGGTAGAGCGCGTCAAATATGGTGTGAGTCCGCAGCCGACTATCGCAATGCATTCAACCTCACGCCTAAATTCTTTTGTGAGCCACTTGCGCCCTACTGAAAAATCGTTATTGTCAGCCCCCCCCGTGAATTCCTCGTTATGTGGGAAGCTGAGCAGCGGATTTCGTCGCGTCAGCTCGCAATCTTCTCTAGTAGCACCAAAATTTCAGTAAACCTTACCTGGGGTGAGTTCCTTCTTGTTCTCAGATACCACCAACACATTCATATCGATTGATAAGAAAATGGTCTCTTCAGGACTGAGATAAAGACGTTCATGAGTTGGTTTCCTATCTAGAAGAACTTAGAAACTCTAGGCAGAAACTGGAGAAGCTTGAATTTGCAGAATACTCACCCCTCCACACTCCTTCCGGGTCATTGAGCCGTTTTACGATGTTATCACTCTCATCTGCTTTCTCCAGCAAAAGTCTATGATTGATTCGATCAATTCGCTCATTTAAGTAACATCCATAATAACCCTAGAATTGAAAAGCAGTATCAATCGACAATCACCAGGGAAGTTTCATCAAAGCTTGGAAACCTACATGCGTATAAATTATGGCTTGGAAGCTCCTCTCGTTCGGCACAATTATCGAACCTCCATATATGATAGCATAACATACATTGACAGGCACATTATCTGGTGGTTCTTCTCCACCATATTTCTTCTCATTTTTGAGGAGATTCATCTTGATCACCTCCGCATCTGAAAGGACTCGAGTGTTCAGCTTGGCGACTGCGGTCTAGAACTTCTTAGGTACTCCCACGCTCCGCGATCACAAATCCGGGAGCGTACCTTTGACCGAATACGTATCGATGCTAAGCATTAAAAAGGCGATCACGCCGGATCTATACCTATCAGATCAATTCGAGCGACAAAAACGTCGATTAAATTCGAAGAAACGAGGTACAAACGGGGTTCTGTCATTCAGAGTGAAAACAGGGACAGGAAACCACCGTACAACCACGGCGTTCACAGAATTGGGCACCGGGCGTGGCAACAGGCGGTGGGCGGAGCATCGGGTTCGTCACAGCTGCCCGGCGACCTTATCATGTGTTTTAAGGCAGCGTTTTTTCGACACTATTGTGCTTGCGGTCTAGACTATCTTGTGCGAAGATAGCGTCTGCACATCAGATGAGAGCGTGATGTAACTTTAAACACTGCGGCATTTGCACGTCCTCGTCATATAGAATCAGTTGGGTCCTGATGCGAATGATGCGCATGCAATACCATTTGCAAAAACGTAGGAATGAACCTAGCCTCTGAGAATGTAACTGGAGCGTATTTGCAAATGGATCGCGCCTTCCCGCATGAAGCAGGGTGCTGTGCTCATCTCAAAGAGTGCGAGAACTCAAAGATAGGTGAAGAGACACAAAAAGTAGGAAATACTAACGACGATCGTTGGATGTAGAGGCGCTGGGCACAGAAACGAGAAAGAGAAAGAGGGGTGAGAACGAAAGGGAAAGGCTGAGACGCAGGAACACTCCAGAGCCTGAATAGGATTCGAAAAAAAACAGAAGGAAAGAGGCGAGATCACTACCTTCGTGAGCAAAACTGCAACCAGAGGAAAGAGCGAGGGCACAAGGTAAGGATAGATAAAAATAACTGCAAGGATATTGGATATAA